GGGGGGGGGGGCATTTTAAGGAGACGTGTATTTGAGGGGGGAGGGTGACACACTTAATAAAGACGTGTATTTGAGGGGGGGGAGTGACACACTTTAAGGAGACGTGTATTTGGGGAGGGGGGACGTGTCTCTTTGCTTAACATATCGTCGTGAGACCTGCCGACCTGGCGCGGTCCCAACTAGGTCAGCAGGTTTGAGGCTCGCGCACCGGAACCTGTCTCTGTGACCAGACTGGAATGTTCCCGCCCGACCCCCCCCCCCCCCCCCGGACGACCTGGTCGGATATGATCAATGAGAACGTAACGAACACGCGTCCACAGCCCACTTGAGCTACATTTAAAACTAATCTGGCTTAATCCGGGAGAGAGGGGTAAGAGAAAGGACAATAGAAGAACAAAAAAAAAAGTTAAAGTAAGGGAAGCAACTATGCTGTCTTCGCTCCAGGGAGTTAACTGTCGCAATATTTTTTATTTTAAATAGAATATGTCAGCTTAAAATTACACGAAAAAAAATTCCATAAATATTGTTTAAAAATTACATATTCTAAGGGTTTTATTTTTTTATAAATGATTTAATCATTCTTTTTCAGCATGAAAATTAATTAACGTTTTTTTTTGTTCACGGAACGCCTATAAAATAAATGTGTAGTTTCGGTTTGCAGGCATGGAAGATTACAATAACAGATGTTTTTGGCAGACGGTACGACCTTGTGCTAGATTATGCTAATCCCCGCAAGTTTGTTGTTCTTACAAGATTTTTTTTTCTGTTGCGTCTGCCCCAGTCTGCCCCCCCCCCCCCTCCACCCTCCCCGCCACGCATGTTAGTGTTGACACTGTTAGAAAAATGTTGACCTACAGAGGTAAGAGAGGGACAAGGCCGCTCTGACGGGAGGTTGAGACTATCCAGGTCGGGGCAGATGGGAACAGCGGGGAACAACTGGGAACACGGGAAAGTGAGAACAAAAGGAACAATGGATCTGGGCACTTGGGAACAACATGTAACAACGCAAAGGGACGTTCATATGGGAACAACAGAAGCACAGAGCAGATAGACGGGAACATGAGGGAACAGCGGGTCGGGGCACATGGGAACAACATGGAACAGCAGGGAACATCGAATCGGGCACACAGTGAACAACAGGGATCAGCGGGCAGGGAACAACGGTAACAGGGAACAACGCAAAGGGACCTTAATATAGGAACAACAGGGAACAACGGACCGATAGACGGGAACATGGGGGAACAACGGGCTGGGCACAAAGAAACACAGGTTGGGCACGTGGAAAGAATGGGGAACATCGATGGCATCAGGGCATTATAAGCCGGGCATTTGGGAACATGAGTTGTTTCTTTAGTGCGTAGGTGGGGCCCTGCTTGTCACAAGCTTAACTTGTGCAGTGTCATGACACGACAACAAGGCCGACTGTCGTGTCCTAGGGCCGACCACAAGACATGGACTACATAAACACGACGTGCCGTACGTACATGGTGCGTCAGCTAACGATCAACGGATGACCAACTGCCCTACTCCGCTCAGGGTGACTTTATGTACATACAGATGGTGATTATATGTAGATACACATATGTTAGACTCGTCAAGGTGATACACATTTGTTTACAGAAGGTCTACACAATAACTATACTGTGTTTACAGAAGGTCTACACATCAACTCTACTGTGTTTACAGAAGGTCTACACAATAACCATACTGAGCTAACAGAAGCCCTACACATTAACTATACTCAGCAGGTGATGATTTTACAAGTTAAGACAACAGAGACCTTGGAAAAGAGTGTGAATTATAACATGACAAGTATAACATCCACAAACCGACATACAGACACACATGTGAGTGTATACAGTGGCGCGCACACAGACGCATCATCATCGGCATCATCGGTCTACAAGCCCAGATGAATAGTCTTCCTAATCTAACTCCAACTTGTCTGCATATAAAGATAACTCCCCTAATCTAACCCTAACTTGTCTGGCTGAGAAGCTTATTCCCCTAATCTATCGCTAACCTGCTTGACTGGGTAGCGCCAGTAAAAATATCTCCAGACAATTAAAAGGTAATCAAAGCAATAAATATGTTTTATGTCACGGTTTGAACGCTGGGGTAGGGGCAAGGGGGTAGGGGTGGGGGTGGCGGTAAGAAGTAGCAAAAAAAATTCGCTAGAATACATCAGCGTGTGTGTAGCGAGGTCAAAGGTCGCGGGGAAATTCTCGTCTAGTTGTGAAAGTCGCCGTGTTGCTATTAATGTTTAAACTGTTTGGAGTTGAGGAGAAATGTTTTATACAGTTACCGGTGTCTTGTGTTTGTGGAGGAGGGGGGTGGGGGTAGGAGGAGGGGGTGGAGCTGTCGCCAGACGTGAACCCGAGACGTTCTACAGTCGAGTTTGTCCAAACGTCTCTGTTGACTCGGCCAGTTCGATGCAACTTTTGTGTCAAGTTTCAGGACAGACGGTGGTGGTGGTGGTGGTGGTGGGGGGGGGGGGGGTCGGGTTTCATGCAGTCCACGGTACACGTCTACACGGTACGTCATCGATGGTACACGTCTTACGAAGTATACGTCTTACACGGTACACGTCTTACACGGAATACGTCTACATGGCGCACTGTACACCCATTATGTATGTGTGCTACGAAAGAGGTGTACAAACGGTGAACATGATGTAAGAAATTGCCCATTTGGGCAACCCGTTTTCTGTGCTCTCGCAAATAAAAGAATGGTGTGGTCAGATCTATGCCCAGCCACCTTTACTTTCTCTCAAACGAATAAGGCACTCATTAGAGCTAGTGGACTCAGAGACGTCAGCAGAACAGAACCACGAATGCGGACTCGTGGTCCGTTGCTCTACCGTCCGACCACGCCATCACATAACATAGCACGTACAATACAACAGCACAGTTTTACACCTCATTCGATTCACACATGGTACACAACCAACTCCGTACACGCTATATACTTAAGTTTATCATCGTCTAAGTCAAACATAATTCCATAATTTTAAAACAAACGTTTGAAACAAAGCGCCACAGGTGACCGAGACAGAGCTGTTTACAAAGTCAGGAAGTACCTGTGATTTCTGTACACACCGCACCAACCAATCAAAACACACTTAACACACCAAGCTAACCAATCAAAACACACTTAACATACCACCTCATCACCAACCAAACGTCAACAAACCACCGCCGCTGGCCGTGTGGATCTGTTAGTTGACTAACTACTCACATTTAGGTACACAACTTGAAGGCGCACTCGACAGCGTACTCGGCTTATGCAACAGGCGAGTTATTCATAGCGATCAGGGGGGGTGGGGCGCCTCTTGATCTGGTCTTACGGGGGGGGGGGAACACGGGACACGGAGGGGGTGTGTCAATATCGTGCCTCGCCTGTTGACTTAGCCACGGCATCAAACAGAAAGATTTAGGAAAGGAAGATTTAAAGCAGAAAGATTTAGGGAAGAAAGATGAGCTTTGTTGAGGGTTTATTTGGTCTGTTATGGTTAGGTGAACAGCGGTCATGTTGACGGTGGTTATCTCACGTGCTGCATGGTGCGGGGTGGGGGGGGGGGGGGATGGAGGAAAACAAACATAGGTAATATAAAGTATGTAACGTATATTTCACAGGTGGACTGAAGCCGTATAACAATTTACGTACCTACAGAAACATCAACAATGCGTAGTATACGATGCTACTCAATGCTAACATTGCTACCCTAATCTGAGTTATGTCACCTACACAAACTCTAGCCCTAACACCGCCATACCTGTAGAACATACACCACTACGATGCTGCCGATTTCTCCAAACTGTAGCCTGACCGTAGTCCCATGTACACATGAATCTATATCAGCTATATCAGCTAAAGCTTTACTATAGCCTGACCATGTACACATTTACAAACTCAACGTGTACAGATATATCAGCTACGATTCTCATATGGGCTGACTGTATGTGTACACATATATCTGCTAAGACTCTCATGTTGGCTGTGTGTACACATATATCAGCTAAGACTCTCATATGGGCTGTGTGTACACATATATCAGCTAAGATTCTCATGTTGGCTGTGTGTACACATATATCAGCTAAGATTCTCATGTTGGCTGTGTGTACACATATCAGCTAAGATTCTCATGTTGGCTGTGTGTACACATATATCAGCTAAGATTCTCATGTGGCCTGTATGTACACATATCAGCTAAGATTCTCAAGTTGGCTGTGTGTACACATATATCAGCTAAGATTCTCATGTTGGCTGTGTGTACACATATATCAGCTAAGATTCTCATGTGGCCTGTGTACACATATATCAGCTAAGATTCTCATGTGGCCTGTGTACACATATATCAGCTAAGATTCTCATGTGGCCTGTGTACATATATCAGCTAATATTCTCATGTTGGCTGTGTGTACACACTGTGTGTACACATATATCAGCTAAGATTCTCATGTGACCTGTGTGTACACACTGTGTGTACACACTGTGTGTACACATATATCAGCGAGTATTTATTGCTAGCACGTACCAGTGACGCAGCACAGACATACTAATTAGTATTTCATGTACGGTTTAATTAGTTTATCGCGGTCACGTGATTCATCGCTAATTAATTAAGCACTGAAGGTAATATGTCCAATTAAGTATTTTTGCTAGAAAGTTTTCTCATAGCTAGGGGTTATAGCTGCGGTTATGGTAAAGTTGTGGTTATAGGACCGAGGTTATGGTAAAGTTGTGGTTATAGGGCCGAGGTTATGGTAAAGTTGTGGTTATAGGGCCGATGTTATGGTAAAGTTATGGTTATAGGGCTGTGGTTATGGTAAAGATATGGTTATAGGGCCATGGTAGTTGTTATAATATGTACGTGGTTATGGTAAAGTTATTATATGGACGTGGTTATGGTAAAGTTATGGTTATAGGGTCGTGGTTATGGTAAACTTATGGTTATAGGGCCGTGATTATGGTAAACTTATGGTTATAGGACCGAGGTTATGGTATCAGGTAAAGTCGTGTGTTGGCCAATGTAAAAGTCTAGACAGAGTGTTCGAGGCACTGGGTGCCGGGTCACGTGGTTACACGAGAGGTACCAGACGTCAGTGCCAGAACGAGGCTGTGACGAGTGTGTAGAGTACCAGAACGAGGCTGTGACGAGTGTGTTTGTATAGAGTACCAGACGTCAGTGCCAGAACGAGGCTGTGACGAGTGTGTAGAGTACCAGACGTCAGTGCCAGAACGAGGCTGTGACGAGTGTGTAGAGTACCAGACGTCAGTGCCAGAACGAGGCTGTGACGAGTGTGTAGAGTACCAGACGTCAGTGCCAGAACGAGGCTGTGACGAGTGTGTAGAGTACCAGACGACAGTGCCAGAACGAGGCTGTGACGAGTGTGTAGAGTACCAGACGACAGTGCCAGAACGAGGCTGTGACGAGTGTGTAGAGTACCAGACTACAGTACCAGAACGAGGCTGTGACGAGTGTGTAGAGTACCAGAACGAGGCTGTGACGAGTGTGTAGAGTACCAGACGACAGTGCCAGAACGAGGCTGTGACGAGTGTGTAGAGTACCAGACGACAGTGCCAGAACGAGGCTGTGACGAGTGTGTAGAGTACCAGACTACAGTACCAGAACGAGGCTGTGACGAGTGTGTAGAGTACCAGAACGAGGCTGTGACGAGTGTGTAGAGTACCAGACGACAGTGCCAGAACGAGGCTGTGACGAGTGTGTAGAGTATCAGATGTCAGGATACGACTGCAGTCAAGTGACGAAATATACCCCCCCCCCCCCACACACACACACTGTGTTTACTCTTGCAGTCGTGGTGGTAGCCAAGTTGCCGGGAGGGGAGGTTACTCCTAATTAAGTCTGACTTTGATTCGTGTTCATATTACCATCCAATGTTTTTAAAATTATTAACTCAATAACGGGAGAACATTAGAATGTTTAATTAGCTTTTTCCTGTTAGACAGTTTTAATTAACCATTACTCAACAACAATCTCAAACCTAACCCTAACCACTAGTAACGTTCCCACTAACGGGGGGGGGGGGGGGGAGGGGAGGGGTTGTGAGCATCACGTATTTTCTGTGCGCGGTGTTCTAAAGGTTTTATACAAGGAGCTTAGAGGGGACATAGACCACTAGTCAGCTCAGTTCTAGCCAGATAAATTGTATTGCTTGGCATTATCGATAAACTTTACACCAAGTTATGGACGACTTACAATGACAGTCTACCGTGGTATTGGTAATTAGGTCACCAACACATCTGTCACTGATAATTAGGTCACCGACACACCTGACGACCATTTTTGCGCCAGCACTGATCTCAGAAAGCTAGACATGTGTCCCGTCTAAACTAGGTCGCCAAAATTCCTTGACAATATCGTCGTTACATTATACGCGAAACCTAATCCTAACCTAAATAAACAAAAGTGCATGTTGATTTCAGACGCTTCTGCGCATGCCCCACGCCCATGTTTATTTCTCCTGTCCAATGAAATAACTTGAACATGGAAATCCTTTTATTAAGGAGACGGCGACCAGGGGAGACTACCTAGGAGATGTTAAGATCTGGTTTCACAACTGCGGAATTTACACCCACCCCTAGAACTAGAATATTCTGCAAAAAAGTTGTACCGGGGGAGGGCGGGGGTTGTTACTGGCTACTATACATGATGAAACAAAAATTTAGGCCTGTAAAAATATTTTCAAGATACAAAAAATTTCCGCAATTTGTTTGTAGAGGCTGAGACGTTGAAAAACAAAGTCGACCGCAAGTTTTGGCTATCAAAATTAGATTTGGCCTGACTACTGCGCAGTTTACATGGCGCCCACGTGGCCGGGTAGCGATACCGGTAACAACAGTAGCAGAGCTGTTCCACGTGATGCGCAGTAGACCACTTCAGGATTTCCAGAGCTCTAGGCAAGATATAAACCCCCCCCCCCGTCCTCTAGTATCTCCTCCACCCCACCATGTCTTTCCCACGTACACCCCTACACAGTTTCTTACTATTTTTCACCTCACCGACTGCCCCCCACTTAACCCCACATCGTATCTTACTAAAACAACCCCACAGCCTTTCTTTCGAACCTATATCCCACACAACCACATCCGCACCACCACCCCACCACTTATACTCCCACTACACCTCTCCACCTTCACACCCCCTAATCCCCACCCCTTTCCTGTCCAATGCCACCCCTTTCCCTACACCCCAACGTTACCCTACGAAGATCAGCTACAAAAGACGAATACAATCCTATAGAATATGCTGCATTTTAAAACATATTTCTATCAAGTCCGCTTAAGGCTACGACGGGAGGTAAAATTATGCACCCGACCCCCCCCCCCCCCCCCCCCCCCCCCCCCCCTTCACTCGCGCTAAAAAAAAGAAGCTTTTTTTTTTTTTAATTTTCTGATAAAAATCTCCGACAATATGCTAACCAGCTTTTTTACGCCTTAATAAACCTGGCATAAAGCATCGCATCAGTGGCGGAACTAGAAAAAAAAAGGCTCCCCCGCAAAAAAATGTTTTGGGCCCCCCCCCCCCCCTATATGTATATATATATATATATATATATATATATATATATATATATATATATATATATATATATATATATATATATGTGTGTGTGTATATATATATATGTGTGTGTGTATATATATATATATATATATATATATATATATACATACATACATACATACATATATATACATACATACATATATATTTATAAGTAGCCCGCTCCTCTAAATTTTAAATAGTCTATTACCTGAATATTTTAATCAATTTTAAAGCAATGTATAACCACTCTGAGATAACGAACCAGACAACAAAGTCAACAATAAGTCCAAACTCATTTCGAGCCCGTAATAATCGTGTTTTACAAATGTTTGTATTACGTCTTATGGTTACCGAAAATTCCAACAATTACGTCGGCTGGTCAAAGTTATATAAACACGTAAGCTTGATTTTGCAATGGTTTCTCGCGTTATGTTTATTTTTATGATTTTTTGTATTTATATTATTAGTTTTGAATTTATTCATTTTTATAGATATAGAATTCTTTAGTATGTCGTATTTAAATAATAAATAAGAGAATAAATGGCTCTTTAATTTACATAGTACAAAACTATTTAAATGAGATTTATGGGCACTTGTGTTTTAATGAAGGGCAGTAAGTCATGGAAGTAGTGTGAACGTTTGCCTATCTTTCAAAGCAGAGCTCTTGTAGATTTTATATTTTTCTACGTAACAGTGTGTGTTAGTTACTGTAGAACAATCACTGCTATAGTAGACCTGTTTGTTTTTTACAAAACCACTATCAAGGTGCACGAAAAACATTATTTATGAAAAGAAAATTCATTGTTTTTTTGGTCGGAATTGGGCCCCTAAACGTCGCGGGCCCCCCCGCATTGCGGGGTCTGGCGGCACTGTAGTTCCGCCCCTGCATCGCATGCGGACAATAAAATGTCCTAATGTTGCCGGCATGTAGGCACATCCGTGAAGCGGGAATATCTGCACACCGGAAGTGAGGTCAGGGCCGCTATAAATAAAACCCCGGCCATAACGAGGCGGACGGGGGAGAATACAATAAAAGTTAAAAACACGGACGGGAGCATAATTGGGGATGTAGTCAGAGTGGGACGGACCAAATAAAGATAAGACGAGGCGATTGTGGACCACGGCATAAAGATGTCGCCGGGAATAAAACGGGGGCAAGAGAGTTAATGAGACACTTTTTAACCATTAGCCGGCTAATTGCTTCCTTTCTCACATCTGTGGGTAAACAATCGAGCCATTGTTGGAAGGGTTGAGTGTGGCTATTGCGCATGGTCGGAGAACCGGAAGTGTACGTAACAGGTCGGCGATGATGGGATAACAATTACCGGACAGTCGGTAGTGTTCGGGTTAGAGGGTAGGTCATGGATACAGTAGGTCATGGATACAGTAGGTCATGGATACAGTAGGTAATGGATACAGTAGATCATGGATACAGTAGGCCTAGGTCATGGATACAGTAGGTCATGGATACAGTAGGTCATGGATACAGTAGGCCTAGGTCATGGATACAGTAGGTCATGGATACAGTAGGTCATGGATACAGTAGGTCGGTGTTGATTGGAATACAAGCACTTAACAGTAATGCTTTTGTTTTTGCCCGGGATATCAAGTACACAACAGTGGTGCTTTTGTCTTTCTTGTTGACCCTTGAAAGCCAAAACAAACGTCACCTGTTCCGCTGTTTGTGTTTGTATTTAACTCGAGTATGTCAAAGGTTATTAGTTTATTGTGTAAGCGTATGATGAAAGGCGGACTATTTATTTTACCAACCAATCATATTGTGTATTACAGACGCGGGTTGAAAGAACATGACCAGGGGCGATTATAACAGACACCAGGGAAACAAAACTAGCCACGGATCCAATATGACCAGTGACACAAGATGGGCGTGGCCTGGGTGACACCAGGAAGTAGCACCAGGTCGCGGGCAGATCAAAGCGAGACTGACAAAACAATCATAAGACTTCTAGCGTAAACAAAAAAACTGACAAGGGAAGACAATCTACTCAGAACAGAGTAGACAAGGGAGATGGTCTGACCACTGTGACAAAGAGCACCAAGGGAGGTAAAGCAAGGACTTACCTGAGAAGTAGTTGTCGTTCTGTGCCGTGGACTGGTGCACCTGTACAAGTACTAATCCCAGCAGGAGGGCCTCCCACAGGCGCCACCTGAAACAATACATCAGGTGCGTTAGAACAGTCAAGTCAATAATACAGGTGAATTAAGTCAAGCAAGTCACCTCTGCTTAAGTCTATCAAGTCATTTCCGCTAAATTAAGCCATTCAAATAGTTTCCGCTACATCAAGTTGTAAAAACGTGTCTATTAAATTACATGATAAATCGATTGCGACACGCATGAAGTTATACGGCTGTATAACTGGAAGACGCCTGTAGTGATATAGCTGTATAATCTAGCAATTAACCAGTCTCACACAGGTTAAACTACACTGTCTCACACAGGTTAAACTACACTGTCTCACACAGGCTACACTACACTGTCTCACACAGGCTAAACTACACTGTCTCACACAGGCTAAACTACACTGTCTCACACAGGCTAAACTACACAGTCAAACAGTTTATTCAATTTATTCAAGGCTTCCACATATCGTATTTAAATAAATTTTTTTAAACTGAAGTTTTTTGTGGTGTGTTATTATTATATGGTCATGGCTGAACAATTCGGTCGCTGAATGAATGTGTTGTGTATGGCATAATGTTGTTAACACACCATCTGATGATGGCATGTAGTTGCATGTTTTGCACACACCATCTGATGATGGCATAATGTAGTTGCATGTTGAGCACACACCATCTGATGATGGCATAATATAGTTGCATGTTGTGCACACACCATCTGATGATGGCATGTAGTTGCATGTTTTGCACACACCATTTGATGATGGCATAATGTAGTTGCATGTTGTGCACACACCACGTGACGAGGG